TTACTTATGTTAGATGTTGAAGCCCTTCTGAACCCTCTGCAGGACCCCTTTAACTGGCTAAAATACCCTCAGGGGAAGCAGGGGATTCCCACAAGTGTCTCTGGAGCCTGTTTTGGCGCCCCAGTCCCCATTCTGGATGAGTGCATGAAGCTGTGGCTCCGTCTGAAACAGAGGCTCTTTAATGCCATCTGTAATGTATAACAGACATGAAACAGTCAGAATGATTCACTGGTCTTCTCTCATCTTAATGTCACTCACAGGAAATCCGTGCCTTCATGAATCCAGCCTCATTATTGCATAGACACGCAAAAAAAAAGCACACAGACAGAGAGCTGAGACATTGTGGCTCAAATAGTTTGGAGGCCTGATGGCTGTCTGCAGTGTTTTTGTGCTGGAGAAACTGGGGCAGAGATTTGTTGATGGAGGATGTGGTGATGAATGAGTCTCTATCCCCTCCGTTCACACAGCTAATAAATTGAAACAGATGAGTGCAAAAACTCATTTTGGAAGACTTTACAGCTATTCCTGCATCAGCTGATCTTTGGACTAAAATTATTGATGTTCTCTTGAGAACAATGGGACAATAAAATGGTTATTGCTCACAAAAATGCAAAGAAAGCCTACATAAACCCCAGACTTTCATCCATAGTCAACACACATATTTAGCTAAAATATGTGGCACAAACTTGAAAGCTCAGGAACGTATTTCTTTCATTTAGATGACAAGGCATCACAAAGCTCATTGTTATTTACAAGGAGCTAATCAGTTTCGACTTGGGTTCAGTCAGTTTTTAATGTTCCCACGTATTCACAAGTTGTTTCCTCACATTTACAGACAACAAAGTCCTCGTGCAACAAGTCAGCAATAGGCATTGTAGATGATTATTTAGAGTGTTTAGGAGACAGCGTGGCTGTGAGTGAAGGGTCAGAATAATTGGAGTAATTTAACTTTGCCACCATTGGTTTGTGAATGGGAAACACTGTCAAACGGTTTGAGTACCACTAAGATAGAAAAGCGCGATATAATTGCAAGCCATATGCCGGTAGTTGAGCGTAAACCTAATCACCTAATCAGAGTTCATGTTGTGTTATTAGATACATTCTAATAAGAAGAATTGTTATAAAATAAAAGTATAATAGAAGTATTCAGCAGTGCAACATTTTGACTGTGGGGGAAAAAATTCATTTTTTTTTGGTATTAAAATTAAGAGTCTTATAGATAGAGTAAGCCATTCCTGAGAAAGTTCGTCCCCCTCAGTGCTTTGTCAGAAGCTGCATCTGCCAAATTTGTCAATGTGCATTGCCATGGCAACCACACTAAGCTAGTGCAAGCCACATAGGTGTGGAAGTTGATTTCTCTTTCTCCTTGCTGAAGACCAACATCCATCCATTACCCATTATCCTGACTTTCAGTACGAGTACAGACCGCGAAAGTGGGGCCTCA